AGATAGATAGATAGATAGATAGATAGATAGATAGATAGATAGATAGAAAGATAGAAAGATAGATATGGAGATTATGAACTTGCCAAGTTTGAAGATACTTGGATTAGATAGTCAGACAGACAGATAGATAGAGATGGAGATAGATACTGTAGACCAGGGGTCTTCAAACTCGACAGCTTTAGGACTTGTGGACTTCAACTCCCAGAATTCCTCCTCCAGCCATGTTAGCTCAGGAATCCTGGGAGTTGAAGTCCACAAGCCTTAAACTTGCCAAGCTTGAAGACCCTTGTCTTAAGAGTGTCCAGAATTGAAGTTGGTCCACATATCTTGCAGTTGGACATTCAGGTCCTCACGTTTTAAAGCCAACATGCTGGCTGGGGAATTCTGGGAGTTGTAGTCCACACCACGTAAAATGGCTGTTGAGAAACACTGCATTAGAGCAACATCCGTCACGAGAAGGTTGAACACCTCAAAGAAACCAGAGTCTCTGATTGGTTCTACCAATCTGGATTATGACAGAATCAATCTGGATTATGTTTTAGGAGTGGTACGGTGGCCTAGAGGTGGAGCTCTCACCTCACAATCAAAAGGCTCTGAGTTCGATCCTAGGTAAAGGCAGATACTTTTCTCTCTGGGCACACCGAGAATATATCTGCCGAACAAAACTCCACAGTGGTGACAGGAATGGTATCCGGCCAGTAAACACTCTGCTAGCTCTATTCAGTTGCCCAGACTCCATCCAACAAGGGACGATGGGGTCGTTAAAAGAAGATGATGAACCTGGATTGTGTTTTAATGACACCCCCCCCCTTTATCTGTTCCTCGTTAAAAAGAACAAAACATGGCTGAATAAATAAATCAATAAATACTGTACTTACATGTTGGCCTCCGGTGTGTCTGGCAGGACAATCCGAAGATAAGTGATTCCCTAGAAGAGACCATGAATATAGTTGAAGAACATCTCCAGAACCTGAAGTCAACTTCTGATCCAGTTCTACAGAGGAACGATGGAGTCTATCATCTGCACCTCTATGACTGTCTGGTTTGGTTCTGCAACCCAACAGGACAGAGAGAGACTCCAGAGGATAGTTCGGACTGCAGAAAAAACAATGGCTGCTGACCTGCCTTACATGGAGGACCTGCATCCTGCACGAGTCAAAAAGAGGTCTGGGAAAATATCTACAGACCCCTCACATCCCAGACATAAACTGTTTTCACTCCTACCCTCAAAACGACGCTGTAGAGCCCTACATACCAGAAAAATTAGACACAAGGAGAGTTTTTCCCCGAACGCCATCACACTTCTAAACAAATAATTCCCACAACGCTGTCAACTTATTGACTAAGTCTGTATTACTATTACTACTAATCTTCTCCTCACTCCTTGTCACCCATCCCCTCCCACTTGTGACTGTATGACTGTAACTCTATTGCTTGTATCCTTACTATTTATATTGACTGTTTCCTAGTATGATTTGACTGCTTATTGTACCCTATGACTATTATTAAGTGTTGAACCTTATGATTCTTAACTCTTGACAAAGGTCTCTTTTCTTTTATGTACACTGAAAGCATTTGCACCAAAGACAAATTCCTTGTGTGTCCAATCACTCTTGGCCAATAAAGAATTGTTCTGTTCTGTTCTGAAAGCCACACAAGGAATAATGGATAGAAACTGATCCAGGAGAGATTCAACCTGGAAATAAGGAGGAATTTTCTGACAGGGAGAACACTCCACCCGTGGAACAGAAGTTGCCTTGAGAAGTTGTGGGAGCTTCATCGCTGGAGGCTTTCAAGAAGAGACTGGACTGCCATTTGTCAGAAATGGGGTAGGGTCTCCTGCTTGGGCAGAAGGGGGTTGGACTGGATGACCTATAAGGTCCCTTCCAACTCTGATTATCTGTTAACACGGCCAACATCCATTCGGCTGCCTTCAGCTTAATGCAGCGTCTCGGGTTGTAATGCTGGACGCCCCTCCCCACCCGTTGACCTCCCCCCCCTTACCGGAATGAAGGGCTGCAGGGACTCGTGAATGGAGACGATGTGGGTGACATCATTCTTGCTCAGCTGATCGAGGTCTTTGGCATCTAGGAGAGGAGGAGGAAGAGGAGGAGGAGGAACACAGAGCGATTGTTAAAGAGACTCCCTCCCTGCTACGCAGATGTTCTCGGCGGGTGTCCTGCAGGAATGCAGGGCACACCAGCGCACGGAGCGTCCCCTGTGCGTGGAGGCTTGGCGCCTGTGCCAAATGCTCGATCCACTCTGAGCTGCTGAATCGGACCGCTTAGCTGGGCCGTAAGAATGGGCCAGAATAGAGAACAGAAAATCTATGTATATATTGTTGGAAGAAAATATCCTTCTGGGTTCACTTCCAAGCGGGGGAAGAAAGACACTGGAAAACATGGAGGCTGTTTGGAAAGACGGTTTAATGGTGGATAGGACCACACGGCTTGGGTGAAGAAAGAAGGGCAGAGATGCTGAGAGCCCCTTATATACCCTCTGTTGGGATTTTGAATTTGAGCTTGTATTCTGATTGGTGGTCAGGCTCCCATGGGGCCGTGCGGGGGCAACTCTGTAGGTTGTCTTTTGAGCATCACGCTTGGTTAAGCCTTTGCTGGATGATGATGTAATGAAAGGGCTTTGGGCAATTCCTATTATGGCTCTACCTGGAGGAGACCTTTGTTATGTAGAAGAGACTGGCCCAGGCCAGAGTAAGGGCCCATTGGCAAAGGTGGGTGGGTGGGCTGAGTTTCTGCTTCTGAGGTGAATTTCTGCTTCTGAGTTTCTACTCTTTTTTTAAGGGGAAATATTCTGCCTTTTTAATATTTCCCAGGATATTTCAATTTTCTAGGAGAGGGGTGGGTTTTAACTTCCAACAATATAAAAGTGAAATACCTCTCACGCATCATCACAACATCTCCAGAACTGTAAAGCCTACAAACTTGAAATTTGGCCCGTATGTCCCTCTTGGCTTCTAGGAGCTCACTAAGAAAGGATTTTTCGAAATGACCATCAGAGCATTAGTATTTCGCATATTATCATTATTAACACGCTCTGATGCTAAGGAGTTCTACTCCCCCTTCCCCCCTGGAAAGAAATCTCTTCCAAAGGCAAAACACAAGCCAGAAGAGTTTTAGTTTCACAGCACCAAGCTGCTTTAGTGCAGAACAGTTGAGCTAAGGCTCCTTGCTGTCTCTTTCTTGCTCACACAGCAAATACTCTTTCAGTTTCCAAACGGCCCTCCACTCTTTCACACACTGGCAGGACGCTAGCCAGATGAATACCGGTGGATGCTGGTAGGCAGATGCAAAAAAAATTTCTCCTTTATTTTCCTCCCCAAAAACTAAGCTCAAGTACATAGTTTTGTACTGAAGCACAGGTGTCCACCTAGTAGAATATAGAATCAAATAGAAAATAGAATAGAAAACAAAATATAGAAATATAGAATAGACTAGAAAATAGAATGGAATTTAGAATAGACTAGAAAATAGAATAGAATACATAGAATAGACAAGAAAATAGACTAGGATTTAGAATGGACTAGAAAGAATATGGTAGAATATATAGAATAGAAT